TGGCATCCTTCAGATGTGCCTCCAGCCAAGACCCTTATATCTGAAGCTATTTCACTTCTTTGAGGGCTCAGTCCTTCTCTGACTGTATATTAATTCCTGGCTCACTTAGTGCTTATAATAAAGCCACAAGATATGAATGAAGTTTATTCTTTTAATGAAATATTATTTAGACTACAAGGAAAGGCAGTTCTTTTATTTGTGAAAATAGAGATCAAGTGGAGAAATTTTAGGTAAAATATGTCAGCGACAAACTAACTTTGATCATAATCATATTTAGAATCTGATGTCGACCCTACATCATGGAGCACAATAATGGCTATCACATGAGAAGTTGGTGAAACTGAGAAATGTTAACGAAAAGGTTCAATGTTTCTTTTGTGTTCTACAAAATGCCTACATACTCTAGAAATGTTCCTTGAAAGTATAACCTTTACAAATCACCAACAGATCACATGGTGATTGCAGTGATTGATGTAGTGTCCCTTATACAGTCGTTGGTTGTTAGGAGAGTTATTTTTATTTTTTTCCTCCACATTTGTGGAGGGTTAATATGTTTGGTGATAAATGTGTTACATAGAAGAATTGTGGTAATCACTTTGCAATATAATTATATTTGAAAACCTTTCATTATATACATTAGTTTTATTTTACTATGATTATGCTAAATGAAATGAATAAACAATTTTGTAATTAAGCAAATTTAACATGATTATGGCTCTATATTAGCAAAGATTGTTGCTTTTGCTGCATTTTTAGTGGAGTGATACAATTTATACTCCAGAAGCTAAAATTTTATGCCTCAGTCATTACAAATGAAAAATAATTGATTTGAGCATATATTTTGGTAAAAACTGGACATTAACACGTCATTAGGGCATCTCACATATAAAAGGACATTAATATAAAACATGCTTATCAACTGAAGAATGGATAAAGAAAATGTGGTATTTTTACACAGTGGAGTATTATTCAGCTATAAAACAGGACAAATATGAGTCTTTTGTCAGTAAAGCGATATAACTAGAGAACATACTTAAATGAAATAAATCAGACCTGCATGTACAAACATTGTATTGTCTGCTTAGTGTGAGAACCTAGAGAAAAATGGAATCTGAAGAGTACAATAGACACTGGTAAAAGGGAATGAACTTACTCAAGAGGAAAGAGTTACTAAGTTGAGGAAGACAGGAGAAGGTGTGGGGGAAAGAGATATATCTATTTACATAAGTAGGATGGTTTGGGCACCTACTGTGCATTTCTGCTGGTCTATGGAAAGAATAAGTGAATGCTTTAATTTGTTTCCTCTTCTTTTTTCAATTATTTGTACTTTTTCTTTTAATGTCATACATTTCTTTTTTTCTTCTTCCAATTTTACATTCATATATCTGGTAATATGAGTAAGTTATTGGAAGATAGCACTATGTATTACAACAAATACTGTGAAATTCATATTACTTTAAGTGAAAAATCTGTATCACTTGTAATTTTTTGTTTTAATTTAATTTGTACTCTTTTAAAAAAAGAAAACAAAAAAATGCCTACATTTTTTTCTTCAGATATACTTGATAGTTTTTGAAAATTCCTTTTTTTTTTTTTTTTTGGTGCAGGGTCTCACCACACAGCCCACATTAGTAGTGATCCTCCTGATTTCTGCCTCCCAAGTGCTGGGATTATCGCCCACACTCCATCGCCAGTTCAGCGCACCTGGGGGCCGGGCTGGCGCTGCATGCAGAGCCAGGGATTGAACCCTGGGGCCTCTGCGTTTACCTAAGCAAGCACTTAGTCCGCTGAGCTATACCGCCGGCCCTGGCTTTTTCTTTTTCTTTTTTTTTTTAATGTATTTAGTACAGTGTCTACAGGGTCTCACTACACAAATCAGGCAAGTGCTTATTCTACTGAGCTATCTCCTTTTTTCTTTTTTTGCAGAACTGGGAATTGAACTCAGGCCCTTGCACTTACCAGTCACTACACAAATCAGACTCATAGTGATTCTCCTATTTTCTGACTCCCAAATGCTGGGATTACAGGTGCACACCACCACATCCAGTCTCATGCATCTCAACATGCTCTGGGGGGTGGGGAGCAGGGCTGGCATGGCACACCCGGGATCGAACCCTAGTCTCTGTGTCTACCTAAGCAGTTGCTTTAATCCTTTAATCCACTGAGCTATCTGGCTGGCTCTAGAAGAGTCTTGTAATATATTATTTAAAGATGACTGTAGGTCTCTGGGACCCTGTATATATTTTGCAGATTTCTTCTGTTGTGAAATATATGTAAGGATTTTTTTTTTTTTTAATTACAGGTCCTGACTAACTGCACTGATGCTGATGGATCTAACCAAAATGATGGACTATTTCACTTTATGAAACAATTAGTTGTCACAGTTGTGAAGGCTAAGAAACCCATCATCAGTGCATTTGCAAATTATATCTGTACTGAGATTTTTTTTTTTTTTTTTTTTTTTTTTTTTGGTACCAGAGATTGAACTCATGACCTTGTGCTGGCCAGGCAGGCGCTTATTCGGAGCTATCTCCCTGGCCCCTTATACTGAGATTTTTAAAAATGATAGTGACTTCCAGCTGAGTTCACATATAGTAGGAGGGCTGGACAAAGTGTTTTTGGTCAACTTTGTAAGTTAACATATGTTATTATTAAGATTTCTGTCTATGTGATTTTTTTATTTGCAAAGGTCTTATCTAGTCTCATATCATCACATTGGAACCTATGTTCCAATACAAGAATTTTGGGAAAATTCAGATCTCTGTACTACAGGAAACATTATATGAAATTATATAATGTGTTGGGCACAATTACCAATTCCAAATGGCTTATTGTTTTCTACAACTATTTATATGTTGATATATAATCCAAATTTAGATGTTTTTGGTTGAACTGTTTTTTAGTGGAGGTTTATTTATTTATTTTTGGATTTTGGTGCTGAGGATCGAATTCAGGGCCTCCAGTTTGCTAGGCAAACATTCTTCTAGATGTTTTTGGAAGATATAAATTTGACCAAAGTATTATATTTATATTTTAGAAAACAATTATCTAAAATAATACAACTGTAGAAGGTATGAATAGAAAGAGTTCAGATTATTCATGCACAAAAGACAAGGTGAACCACCTTTAAGTTGGAGATTCAACAATGAAAATATTAAAAGTTAAATGACATAGTAAGCAATATTTCCTTGCTCAAAAATTTTTTTGATGCTTTAAGTCCCCACTGTTCACTGAGGAAGTACAGTCCCAGAAACACAGACAAAAATAATGCCATACAGGATGGAAAAAGAGTATTTAAGAGAAAGTTTGAGTAATCAGCAGAAGAAATGCATAGAATCTCTAGAGTATGATGGCAAGTTTTAATCTCACATAGTTAGCACATTGCAATATATTTGGAAATGCAATTTCTTTCCAAAAGTGGACATGGGCTTCAAGGCAAAAGATTTATATGGTCTGAAGAGAAGGATTTTTTTTGGGGGGGGGGCAGGCTTAGAATGCCTTCAGGGCATGTTTGGCTGGCTGCAGTTGTGGGGATCGAACCGCAGCCCCCTGAGGCTGACTGCTTTGTTGAAGCAGCCACTTACACAATTGAGCTAAGGGCAGGCCCCTGTTCTGAAGAGAAACCAGAGTATGACATGGGCTTCAAGATGGCCACAAGTTTTCATACTTCTTATACCTGACTGCTATCATTTTATTGGCTGGAAATAAACAAATAGATGGTGATAGTGTGAAAATCCTTACCATGAAGCCTGCTATTTCACGTCAAAATACTGACCTGTCAAACTGCCTGCTCTCCTCCTAGTCCCTGGTGTCTTAACCTGGTCTGGGCTCAGCATGTTTTCTGACATCAGTGGATTGATTCTCTCCTAGACTATTGTCCCTAGAACCTCCTGAACACATCTGTGACCCATTTTCAGGAAAAGTCCACTGATAGGGGCCAGGGAGATGGCTCAATACAATAAGCGCTTCCCTGGCAAATGCAAGGGCCTGAGTTCAAATCCCGGGTTCCGCAAACTGGAGGAGAACTGAAAAGCCAGGGATAAACCCTTAAAAACAAGTATCCCTCAGTGATACGACATGATGTCCGACAGTGTAGATGTCCCTGCGCTACTATCTCTCATTTGGGACTCACAGTTTTTTGTTTTGGAACGGAGACCAAAGTCAGGACCTTGCGCTTGCCAGGAAAAAATTTATGCCACTAAACTCCCTCCCCACTGTTGTAACCCAAGAAGGAGACAATGAGGCAAAACGTCCAAAAAGATGGTAGCGCTTTATTTTAGCTGGTACCCAGCGGAACACTCAGAGTCGGAGAGACAGAGAGGAGCCCCGAGTAAGGGGAGGTACAGTAATTTAAACCCCAAAACCGCAAGACCGCCCATCCAAGCAAGCCGATCACAGAAGCCAACAGCAGATGTTAATGTGGTTAAGGGAGCACATGACCTTTTACAGGATTGGTTGTAGCCCACCTGGTGGAAGCCCGACACAGAGGAGTTACCCCTTTGGACTAGGTGGAGTACAGAACAGGGGGTGTAATCTAGGTATGCGGTCATGCTGACCTTATAAGGACAATGTGGCCGACCGGTTGCCAGGAACACCTGTTTTGCCTTAAGGCATTCGCGGAACCAGGGCAGGGGTGAATCAGAGAACCAAGATGGAGTCATTGTAATCAACTAGGACAAGGGTGAATCGGAGAGCCACGATGGAGTTACTAACCTCAGGGTATAACACGCCCTAAAGGGAGTGGGCTTAAGAAACCAAAAGTCACATTTTACAGTAGCTGACATGGTTTACTAAGACGGCGCATACAGAACAGGATGGCGGCGATTTGGTCAGGTTATAACACCCACCGTCTTGGGCTTCAGCAGGTCCAAGTTTGTTTCTCCCCGTAGTCAGGGCTCACAGGGAGGTCATAGACAGGGATCCAGCCAATGCTGAAGAGGCGGGCTGTACGAACTGTCCAATCAGGTGGGCCGAGGTAGGCGGGTGCTTCCGGTGTCGTGGCGCCAGAGCGCGTTTGCTGAGCGCTATATCGGGAGCGCAGAGATTGTTAGACCGCCTTCTGTGGTTTCTACTGGCTGCAGCCTGATCAGGAAAGACCTCGAGAGACCCTCAAGCCACGCAATGGTGACTTTTTTGGGATGGGTGACCTCAAATGGGGTGTAATAATGGTGATATCCGGTTAGAAGCGGTCAGAACCTGCTCTCATCGCTAGAGCCTCGGTGCTCAGCTTCAAGGTCCTCCTGGACTGGCAGCCAGCCATCCTCTGTAGCTTTTGCGCCTCGCTGGGGCAAGGCTAGTTCTGGGCCCTCTGCACCCTGTCCGCCCTGGGACACCGCCGGTCCACAGTGCCGTCTTGGGAAACCTGCTGCCCCCGCACATCCACCATGCTAAAGAGAGGAAGGGGCTTGGGAGACTTGATTTATGTGGTTTGGTTAGGTGAGCTAGGTTCCTGGTCTCATTTCTGCCAGCTGCAGATCTTGCAGGTCTAAAGTTTATACATGTCTGTGATGTAGGGTGTCATAGACTCAACATACATACTTTCTTTCCTTCGGTGGGTCGCCCGGCCTTTTGAGACAGGGTCTTGCTATGCGGTTCACGCTGCCCTTGTGCTCACTTGGTAGCATAGGCTGGTCTCGGGTTTGTGCTACTCAACTCCTTTAAACTTCTGCTTTTTAATTTAATTTAATTTTTTTAAATCGTTTTCTGTATTTTAGGGAAGGGTCTACAGGGTACTCAGGGTCTCACTACTAGAACGGACTCGTAGTGATTCTTATGTTTACAGCCTCCCAAGTGCTGCTGGGATTACAGGCATGTGCAATTTACACCCAGTCTCAATTGCCATCTCAGCGCGCCCCCGGGCCCTGAGCTATTTGGCCGGCCCCTTAAACTTCTGCTTTTTTGTATTTATACTGATCTCCTAAATTTCCAGTATGTCCTCACATTGCCCAACTCATGATAGGTGTTGACTAAGTCCTGAGAATTCAAAGGAGTGTGGTGATGTGTTTCAGAGGTAGAGCACTTGCCAGACATTCTGTGAACTTCTGGTTCCACACCAGGCAATGCAAAAGGAAGGTATAATCTCACCTTAATAGGTGACGCCTGTAATCACAATTAGACTGTTGAAGTGAGGACTGCCATAGAGTTCAGAATTCAGATTTAAAAAAAACAAGTGGAAAGTGTACCTGTTAAGGATAACTTCCAGGGACCCTTCTGGTTAGCTCAGTTAAGCGCCTGCTCATGCAAATGCAGTTAGGCACTGGATACCTTGGTTTGATCCCCACCTCCACCTGTATTACCAGACCTGCCCTTAAGGCAGCCTGAGCCAGCCAAAAAAAAAAAAAAAATCATTCTCAACTTCCATGGCTGGCCCCACCCCCCAGAGTGTGCTGAAATTTGAGACTGGGCATGGTGGCACACACTTGTAATACCAGCTCTTGGGAGGCTGTAAACAGGATCACTATGAATCTAATTTAGTAGTGAGACCCTGTAGACCATTCCCTAAAATACAAAAAAAAAGATAAGTTCCAGAAAGGGCTACCTGTTAAACCATACTGAGAAAGGCCTGGAATTGGGACATTTCCATGAGATATGTTTGTGAGTGGCAAGGGGGTGGATATCATTTCTAAATTAATGACTGTAGTGCTTGATCTGATTGTAGACATTGTTTAAATACTCTCAAGGTAGGCTTTAAATGGAGTGCTAGAACAAAAGCTCCAAATAGAATTTGTGGAGGGATATTGATTGTTCGGAATATAGGACTTTCTGGTTATGATGGAACAAAGAGTGGAAAGGGCATGGAAGAGAATGGCATGACAGAGGGTGCAAATAGTAGGACTTTCATCGTGTGAGATCTTTGAGAGTCAGATTGTTTAAGCACAAAAAATTGTGTGCTTGCTTCATCTGTGAGTTGACAAGTCAGTCACAGGCTTGGAGAGAAAAGAGAACATAATAGATAAATGTGTCTTCTGTTATCACTGATAAGTTCATGCAATTTTTTTTCTTTCCTTTTTTCCTTTTTTTTTTTTTTGAGACAGGATCTCACTGTATAGTTCAGGCTGGCCTTGAACTCATTTTTGTAGTCCATGCTGGCCTCAAATTCACAGTGATCTTCTTATCTCAACCTCCTGAGTGCTGGGATTGCAGATGTGCACCACTAAATGAGAACATGTAATGACTTGAGGGGCAAAATTGGAAATTAGGAAACCGTCTTTGGAGTAAGTTAAAAATTGTGTGGATACTGCCATTGAAGTTGAATAAAAGGAGTTTAATCAAGATATGGAAGGAGGGGCTGGGGAGATGATCAGTTCAATCCCCAGTTCTACCAAAAAAAAAAAAAAAAAAAGACATGGAATATTTCAAGGTGTGCTTGATGTTTATTATTGTAGAGAAATTGAACTCTGAAATTTCCTCTGAGCTATTTTACTCCAACTTTTTGTTTTGGCTGGCTCAGGCTGCCTTAAGGGTGGGTTTGGTAAGGCATGAGGCGCTGGGGATCAAACCGTGGTATCCTACACCTGACTGTGTTTGTAATAAGCAGTCGCTTAAACAACTGAGTTAACCAGCAGGCCCTCTTCCTCTAAATTTTTAATTTTTAAAAAATTTTAGATTGTGTCTTACTAAGTTGCCCTGTGTACTGTGATCTTTTAAACATTTTTGTACCTCATTGACTGTTGGAATGATATGAATGTGCCACTATGCCAGTTTCAGATTGGCATCCTTTATTTCCCATGATTTACCAATATTTAAGTGCTTGTGTAAAAATCACCAAGATATGGTTGTTCACATGTTTACTCTCAGCCACTTGTGAGACTGCACAAGAGTATTACAGCTCCTATCCTAGTCTGGACAATTGACCAAGACCTTTCAATATAATACATAAATTCTGTGGCTTATCTCCACTGATGAGTAACATTTCACATGACGTGGGGCCTGTGATGAATATCTAGTATTGAAAAATAAAAGCACAATTATTCAGTGGAAGCCCTCTTTTGAGTTTTTTATTCTTTTTGCACTTTAGCCATATGTGGTATAATACTTGCTCATGATAGTAAAACAATAGTAATGATTCACACCTGGTTCAGCTACAGGACAACAGTGGTGAATAAGCTGGACTTTACCTTGCACTGTATTTAATAGCATGCATGAGATATTTACTATTTTCTTACTGTTTTGTATTGTGTTACATGTTACCAAAAAGGTCAAGCGTGTTGAGCAGGTTTAAAGGATCCAGGGCTTAGCAGTAGTGTTTTCTTGATCAGGCTGATTTTCTACATTTTAACACATTTTCCTTTAAACTTACTTTTGGTTGGGGGTGGATTATATTTTTCCATTAATTAATTAATTGATTTTTTTTTTGTGGTACTGGGGATCAAACTCAGGACCTTGCGCTTGCCAGGCAAGTGCTTATTCTACTGAGCTATCTCCCCAGCCCTATATTTTTCCTTTATAACTCAAGTAGTGAATCTGTTTTAACTCTTCAAAAGGTCAACTGTAAAACATAATAATCATCAGATTATTTCCTTTTTTTTTTTTTTCTTCAGACAGGGTCTCACTATGCAATTCAGTGTTTAAGCTCATTTTATAGCCCATGCTGTCTCAAGCTTGCAGTAATCCTCCCACCTCAGCCTCCCTAGTGCTCAGATTACAGGTGTGCACCACCATGCCCAGCTTTTCTTTTCTGAGAGCTGTGTTAATCAGGTTTCCCAGAGCAACAGAATAAGGAGAATGATATTAGTAATATTTGGTAAAGGGAACACTACTCTGGATTTTGATATTTGTTTCTTGGTTTGCTTTAATTTGGTTTGGTTGTTATTCTATCCATGATAATTATTATAGGTATTCTAATTGTAGAGAGATATCCCAGTTG